ATACATTTTCCCCTGCTGTCAGTAAATGTAATATTTACTCAGAATATATTCAGTAAGAGCATACTTCAAATGCTTATCTGATACAATGATAGCCCATCAAGATCAATTTCTGGTCATCTTTAAATTGGAATCTAATCTAATACTGTTTGTTGTGGAAGGTATTGTCATGTAGCTCTTACACAGCAAAAAAATGAGTTTTCATTATTCTAATACAACTAAAATTTATCTTTGCTTCTTTAAAACCGTAGCGTATAGTTGGAATAACAGCAATGTTGCAGCAGTCTCTGGAAGGGCTGCTTTTAGAAGGTCTTCAGACTTCTAACATTGACATAATACGTCACTGTTTGCGGACTTATGCAACAATAGACAAAACACGGGATGCTGAAGCGTTAGTTGGTGAAGTGCTTGTAAAACCTTATGTAGATGAGGTAAGTGAAGCTGATTGTAACTGATTTAGGAAAGTACATTATGTTCTATATTACTTATTCTCACTTTTCAGAAATAACTCAATCACAGGAAAATTAAAATAAGTAGGTAATATTCACTACTAGATCTAAAATAATGGGTGCTGATATTCTGTGCATCAGTACATAACAACCCTTGAAAGCTGGTTCTTGGACATACATTTAATATTGCACATAAAATTGAAACTTGATTTCAAACTTGATTAAAAACAGCATTTTCAGATTTGTGGCTACAGTAATTATTGACTGGTTTGTAGATGCAGAGTGGGTTTTTCCCCCTTTATATTTTGCATTTTGATTCTTTTGTTGCTTCTTGTTTGGATCTGATACCAAATTCCTTTTGACAGGTGATTGTAGAACAGTATGTTCAGTCTCATCCTAATGGTCTCCAGACCATGTACAATAAATTGCTGGAGTTTGTTCCTCTTCATTGCCGTCTCTTGCGTGAAGTAACAGGGGGAGGTATTCCAAGGTAACACAGCTTTTTTCCCCCATTATGTGTTGCAAACAGTTGTTCTGGGGATATGCTAAAACCTGCTGAGAATGTTTGTGTTGAAAATGTAACTACTTTTAACAACTAAGGAAGAAGAATAAAATTAGTCTAAATGTTTTCTAATCCATTGTGACGTTACTAAATCCATATACATATCCATGCTCTCTCCTAAAAGTCACTGACATAGCCGCATCTTGTCTTGAAAATTTCTGTTTGTATTCTTGCTTGCTTCACTTAGTGTAATGAAATATTTTTTTTTATTTTCAATCCCAAATCTTTAATTCAGAAATACACAATCAAAGCTGTTTCTCGCATACACACACACACAGAGAAAGAGAGAGAGAAGAGAGAGTCCATAGAGAGCCTCCCAAAATGCCCAGCTGTCACTAGCAAGGCTATTGCCTCGGGGCAGGGGAAGGCAGCATCACCAGAAATAACCCTCTGACACTGTTGTATAGTCTGCCATGTTCTTTTAAACTTGTTCATACTGTTGAAATTCCCTATGCACTGCTGATCAGTCTCCATTTCCTTTCAAAAGCTGCATTGCACATTCTTCCTGCTGCCAAGAGGATGCTCTAAGTGATTTGTTCAGAAGGCAAGATCCATAGTGCCCTTTGTCGTTGTTGGCCAGGTGACAATCCAGAAGCCATTGTCAGAGGACTTTATTACTCTTTGCTCTCTTGCTCTCAGTGACTCTGAATGGTTCTCATTGTTGCTGCTTCCACTGTTTTTAAAATACAACTACCCTTGGCAGAGTGGGGGTAATTGAAGGGAAAAAGAGTTATCATGGAAAATTAAATTATTTTGAATAGTATAATTATTATTTAATGCATTTCATAACTGCCTGTCAAGACTCCAGTCTTCCCATTACAGTTTATATCATCAGTCCACATTAATATAAACATCTGTAAAATTATACATCAGTTTTAAACAACTTTAAGAACAGTAAAGTCAGCCAAATCTGAACTTATATTAACAAACAAAAACTTTCAGTCAAAAAAGCCAAACAAGAGAAAGTTTTAAGCCCATCTCTGAAACTGCTGTATGTTTCTCAGAAGGGAATTTCTTGGGTGATCACTGAAAAGGCCCTGTTTCTGATGCCCACCAGCCTTCTAGATCTGAATTATTTTGACAGAATAGCAAGTAGTGTCCTGTGATGCTCTCATCAGACAGTCAGGTTCATTAATGTTAATAATAATATTAATAATAATGTTAATAATAATAATAATAAATTTTATTTATATTTTCCGTCTCTCCCTACGGATTGAGGTGGGATTACACAATAAAATATGCAGTAGTGTACAAAATACAATCAGTAAAATCAGTACAATCAGAGCATAAATAAAATCAATGAAATAGGACAAATTAAATAAAATAAACAAGAATAAACTAAAATAAACTATCCGGTCGTCATCAGTACCCAAAAAGTCGGTTTTAAAGTAATACTATAGAGATTCGCTAGGGAGATCAGATGGATAGGCCCGCCAGAGGAGGTCTGTCTTAAGTGCTTTCTTAAAGGCGTCTAAAGTAGTGATAAGATGGATCTCTTCCATAGGCTGTTCCATAGCTTGGGGGCTGCGGCCATGAACGATCTAATGTTCCTTCAAGTAACTTGGACCCAAACAGGTCCTTCCTCTTGCAGATCATCTGCTCTATTTTTCCATACATGTATTACAATTCGTGTCACCAAGAAGTACCAATTAGTTCTTTCCTTACCTGACTCCAGATATTTGCCTATGTGCTGCAGCCTCTGCCACCTATCTCACAGCTTTCAACAGAGGATTACAAACAAGGTTCACCAGAGTTACACAGCTGTAGAATTTATGCTTTTCCAGAAATTGAGATGTCAGATATTGAGAGGCGAGTTTCAAGTAGTCTAATTTTAGTTCTACCTGAAACCATCTGCAAATACTTGTACTGGTTGGTAGATCTCCCTACTTTTAAGGAGACCTCTACTTTTGTTTACTTTTGAGGTGCCTAGTGCCTGATTCTTAGTGGAAGACTCAAGGTAGTATGGCAGGCTACCAACAATTTTTAATTAATTTTAGTTGATTATACTATTTAAAGAAGAACATGACGTGCACCCTCAGAGTCCACTTAGTATTCAGGCCAATTTCAAAAGATTGTGTTTGTGGTTTTACAACAAAGGTAGAGACAGACATGCACACATTCCTGATTATTATAGATGGAAATTAAGGGCCTTTGCAGACTGCCAGAAATAGTGCAAATTGAGTCCACTTTAACTGCCCTGACTCAGTGCTAGGGAATCATGAGAAGTGTAGTTTATTGTGGCACCAGAGTTCTCTGACAGAGAAGGCTCAATGTCTCAGAAAAAATACAATTCCCATGATTCCCTAGCACTGAGCCAGGGCAGTTAAAGTGGACTCAATTTGCACTATTTCTAGCAGTCTGCAAAGGCCCTAAATCTCCAAAGGCAGGCTCTGAAAGCTAGCTGTAAGACAATACAGTTTTCTAATTTGTCTATAAAACAAAAAGAAAATTTCTGTAAGGGACTATAAATATATATAGTTGAACTATATATCTAATTGAACTATATGTCTTATTACCAATTAGTTTTTGGGCAA